CCCCCTGCCATGGTGGAGCGAAGCTGCTGCAGACGGCAGCGCCCGGTGCCGTGCAGAGGCAGGGTGTCATGGGGTGCCGAGGCTGGAGGCGAGGGGGGTTTGGGTGGTAGGTGCTGTTCCTCACCCAGTGACAGCGGGTGACGCCAGCAAAGCCCTTCTGCCAGGGGAAGACAGGGGGATGGAAGAGCAGCGTCTCACTCCTCCGGTGCCCCAGCGGTTTGTGTCACTGTGACGGCTGCGTCCTCGCGTCGCCGCTGGCCCCCGGCCTCTCTTAGCCGAGGGCCGAGGGTGCTCTGGGCTGGCCTTGGGGGGAAGGCACGGCGCTGTGTGGCAGCAGAGAGGACATCTTTCAACATCTCTGCTCTCCAGTGACACAAAGGACTGATGTGAACAGAAACCACGAGACCCTGGGTCTTTTCACAGAATCACAGAATCCCAGCCTGGCAGGGGCTGGCAGGGACCTCTGTGGGTCACCCAGCCCAGCCCCCTGCCCAAGCAGGGTCACCCGGAGCAGGCTGCACAGCACCGCGTCCAGGCAGGGCTTGAATATCTCCAGAGAAGGAGACTCCACAGCCCCTCTGGGCAGCCTGGGCCAGGGCTCCGTCACCCTCAGAGGGAAGAAGTTCTTCCTCGGGTTCAGACGGAATTTTTTTTTTTGAGGCTTCCGGATTTTTTTTTCGAGTTGTTTTACAGCTCAGACCCCATTTCTAGCCCTGGGAGTAGGCTGGGCTGTGGCAACCCAGGGAGGCTCAGGACCGCTCTGCTGAGATGCTGAGGGTGGGTGGGGGACATTCAAGGTCGATACAGGCGGTGAATCGTGTGGTTGAGCCGGGGGGATGGACAGAGCCCGTCAGGTCCTGTTTTGACCGTGAGAGACAGTGACTGGTGCAGAAATCAAATCCCATTTTCCTCCCCGAATTAGCACGGCCGGGGATCTGCGCTGGCAGCTACAGAGGAGCAGCCCGGTCATGGCTCCAGCACGGCACAGCTGAGGCGGGCTGCAAATTCTGCAAGACTCTTACGTAAAGGCTTTGAGGAAGGGGGTGGCAGGAACCGACTGTGCTCAGAGGGTGACTCTGACATTCGTTAACCCTTCGGTTCACAGAGAGCCACTTATTCCCATCCCCAGTGCCCGTGGGGCTGGGGGAGCAGGGAAGCGGGTGGACGTCCTTCTGCCTGGCCCTGCATCCCTTTGCTCCCCGCTCCAGAGCTGGCCTCTGCGCCTGGCACCACGTTCCCAATTGTCTTTGTGCCTCTGGAGGAAAACTCAACCAGAAGAGAGTTCAAAAAAGCCCCAGGGTCACTTGGGCAGGGCAGACACCCTCTTGCCTCGTTCCATCGGTCCCTCTCTGCTCTCTGTGGGATGTGGTGGTGCAGGGAGCCTTCTCCAAGCATTTTCTTACTTCACTGAGTCGCTGCATCCGCTTTAAAATCCAGCCCGGAGCCATCTCTTCAATCAAGCTCCCTCTGCAAGCAGCACTTTCTTCCAGCTCCCCGTTACATGCTCCAGCCTCAAGGCTGGAGGCAGCGTGCATAAAAGATGCAGCACAAATCCCCGGCATCGCACGCGAGGAAGGGGTTCTCCCCGCGTCCCAGCTTGCTTGGGTTGCTTTGCTGGGCCTGAGAGGTTGGAAAGAAAGGGGCTGGGACAGCTCTGCCAGAGCCAGCGTTTCCCAGGCCAGCATCGTTCCCTGCCACCCGCCGGGCCAGTGACCGGAGGGGAGAGGTCTTTGGGGTCTTGCCTGTGCCCCGCTGGAAGGTTTTCTGGCAAAAAGCGGGAGTTAGGGGTCAGCCCAGTACACAACCTGCCCCAGCAGCCCACCGACACCAGCTCTTGGTTGCTGTGTCCTTATGACACAGAGGTTTGGATTTTAAGGTGAGCTAGCCAGGTTTGACACCCAGAAATCCACCGTGCTCTGTCCACAGAGGGATTTCGCTTCTCAGGGATGTGGGAAGGAAACACTGACTCCGTTACATCGCGGGGGGGGTGCTCGGCACCCAGGGCACCCACCTGCAGGCTGGCGCGGTGCGCGTTGGGAAGAGTTCCCTTCCAGCCGAGCATTTCAGTGTGTCTGATCTGCTTTCATGTTCAAACTGGTGGCTTCAAAAATGAAGAAAAAAAATGCTGCCCATTTATATTCCCCTCACAGCTGTGCTTGCAGCATGGCTGGGGTATGAATGGTCGCATTCCTCTTACCCACGGCTTATCTCCACAGAGCAACCTCCGCTCGCCGACCGGCTTCGGCTTCAAAGCTTTCCAGTCTTCGGGCTCGGGGCTGAAGCCCGACAGTTGGAGCTCTGAGAGTTGAGAGTCTTCTTCTCACCATCCCCACCCACAGCCTGTCCTGCCTGTGGCTCCCTCCCTCCTGGGAAGCCCCTGCCCACGCAGGCAGCCACCCGCGGCTCCAGCCTGCCGCAGCGTTTGCTGCTGCTCCGAAAAAAACCTCAGTTACTCAATTGAAGCTTCCCTGTTGATTTAATTAATGCAAATTGAGATGTGTGTTAAAACCTCCTTGTAATTACCGTAACACCGTCCTGGGTTTTTTTTTTCCTTTTCCTTGCATTTATAAGGAGAACAGTAAGGTCTGGATTCACAACAGCTTGTGAAGGTCCACGGCCCTGCGAGCTGAGCCCGGGGCGTGCAGTGTGAACCGCACGAGCTCTAGTAGAGCAGCTCGGCGTCCGGCCGTGGGCTGCGATGCCCGCCCCGAAGACGCGCACGGATGCAGGCGCAGGGCTGACCCCGCTCCTAGCCCAAACCCGGGCAGCACCCTCTTGAGCGGAGTTCCTTAGATTCCTTTGACCGGTGAGTATGTGCTTGTTTTTGTGCTGATTTTTCTATTGGCAAATCAAAACTTTGCTCTGGGTGAAGTTCCGAGGGAAAATCGAGTTTCTTAATCTCCGAAGCAAATTGTTATCATCTAATGCGTCGGCTTCCAGGCTGCCTTGAGCTGAAAACCCCAGTGCTTGCAGTCACGAGCGATTCAGCTCAACTTTGTCATCTTCCCAAGCACCAGTTCCTCCCGTGCTGGGTTATGGGGCAGGACTAGGGCTCAGCCGGGCGGGCAGACCTTTGGGATCTGGCGCAGGGCACGTGCTTGCCAGCTCCGAGGTGCAGTGCTGCAGGGCTGGGCTGCAGGCGTGATACTCGCCGAGTTCCCTGGCCTCCGAAATGCAAAGCTGCGGGCCAAGAGGGCTCCTGTTCCCTCAGACAGCATCGAGGGTATTTTGAGAGCACAACTGGTTTTTTGACAGTTTTCACTCTGCAGCAGAAGTCCCGCTTCAGACTGGAGCAATCTCTTGCTGACCCTAAAGATGATTCCTGAATAAACAGGGGGAAAAAGGACTGAGAAGGGAAATTGAGGTGCTGGAGGACAGAAGAAGCTGTGTGAGGTCTCTCTAGTTCCAGGCTAACCCGAAAAAGCCCTTGAAACAGATTTGAAGGGGGTTTTTTTGGTAAACACCCAGATTTCCCCCAATTCAGGAAGGACAGGCTGAGCTCAGCCCCGTGGATGCCGTGCTTTGCACCCGAGCATGGAGGGAGGGGAAAGCAGAGGGCTTACATCTTCACCCCAGACTGGGGTGCAGGGAGGTGCTAGGACTGTCAGCACCCCTCCTCGGGCGGCACAGTGGCACTGGACCCCCCAGGCTACCAGTTACAGGATGCATT